AAAGATGAATACAAGTCACGTTTGACTTCTGCAATTACAAGAGGTGCTCATAGTGGTTACCATTAGCGTCCAGACACTTCTGATTACAGCGTACTACTGCTTGAGCAACGTTGCCCAAAGTATACATTTTTTTTGGCACCCCTGGTATATGTCCCAAATATTACATTGCCAGAGCAGCCCTACTCAGGACTAGAGTCTGTCCCCAAGGCATGGGACCAGGGCAGGTTTGGGCTGAAGGATAGTCTCTGCCTGGGGCCCAGTGGTACCATCCTAAAACCTACCCTATTTNTGGGACTGTTACCTTACTAGCAAAAGGGACCTTGCCGATGAAGTTAAAGATGACGACGGGGGAGAGCGTTCTGGATTACCCAGGTGAGTTCAGTGTAACCTGTGGACACTTAAAACCAGAGACCCTTTCCTGGAAGAAAAGTCAAAGATGCAACGTTGCAGGCTTTAAAGATGGAGGAAGGGGCTAGGAGCGAAAAGATGTTGGCAGCCTCTAGAAGACACAAAAGGTAAAGAAGCAGATTCCCCTCTAGAACCTCCAGAAAGGAATGCAGCCCTGTTGGTAGCCCAACGAGACCCGTCAGAGTTCTGACCTATAGAACTGTAAGGCAGTAAGTCTGTGCTGCTTTAAGCCTCATTTGTGGCTATTTGATAAGGTAGCAATAGAAAATGAATACAAGATCACTCAGAGGAGTGAGGAAAGACAGAAATGAGCCAAGGGTGCCTGGAGGGCACCAACACTTTAAGGATGAGTCAACCAAGGAGAGAGAAAGGGAGACACCAAGCAGTGGCAGAGCTTGACGATAAAGGAACAAGTTCCAAGGAAGAGAAATTGGCCCAGATTTAAACTGCCTGCTCTTTAAAGTGAGGGCTGAAGGAGGTTACACAGTCTTTCAGATTTTAAGAGTATGCAATTTCCTTGCTTCGCTTCGTTTGGCCTGTGATTCTAGTATTTGCATATAACAAACAGCCCCTTTCACCTGAAACACCACCTTCC